TGATCAGTACCTCTTGTGGGATCCATACTAAGCTAAGTCAGGCAGCTACTTCCCACAGCAGCTCCTGATGAGTGACTAGTATATGTCATCTGGCCATTCTGAAGTGGCTGAAGCCCTTCCTGCTGGGAGAGCTACATGCAGACACTTCTGGAATCACTGGAATGACTTGGCATCCAGCACTACTCCCCTTCATGAGTGGCAATTCCACAAAGGGAGCAGTGGCAAGTGCCTCAGCAAAGATAGCACTTATCCTTCAGCCCCTGTTCTCTGAGACTTCCAATATCCCCCAGTCCCAGCCTGGACTTCCATGAGCAAGTCTGCTTTTCGACTGGGCCTAACTAAACTCCAGTGAGAGCACAGAACTCCTCCTATTCTCTATGGGCTGCTCTGGGGCCATGTTTTTTAACAGGACACTCAACAAGTAAGAACCTGAGATTCTAAAGAATGATAGCAGGAGTCGGGCGTTGGTGGTACACGCCTTTAATCCCAGCACTTGGGAGGCAGAGGCAGGCAGATCTCTGTGAGTTTGAGGCCAGCCTGGTCTCCAGAGTGAGTGCCAGGATAGGCTCCAAAGCTACACAGAGAAACCCTGTCTCAAACCCAACCCCCCCCCAAAAAAAAACAAAACAAAACAAAAAACAAGAATGATAGCAGGATTCTTGGTCATCCTAAGAGTACACACACGGGCTGACTACACACCAACCTGCCCATCCCTGAGGGCAATTATGTAAAGGAATCCTAGACTGAGAGCTCTCACACTCTACTGTCCAAGGATGATGGATGACTCTGATTTGCAACCAGAGACCTAGGGCTTTATCAGGATTTGTTCTGGCTCATCAGGAATTAAAAAGGCACAGACAGGTCTGGAAGACATCATCTTACCAAGGTATCAAATGAACACTTAAGGCAAACTAAGTGTAAAGTGTGGTAGAACACAAAGAAGTGAAGACAGCCCTTCTCCTACAGAACCTTCAGACTACATGGACTAAGAGACAGGCTCTGGTACTAAATACTCATCTGCAGGTTGGTAAACTGGCAGGTGAGCAGTGAGGACAGGACACCAGCCTCTCACTTGTGTCAGAGTGAACGAGAGCTGCGGGAACCACAACAAACCTATAGTGAAAAGGCTAAAGTGCTGGCTTTCCATCCTTATTTTGTTATCTCTGGGAGGAAACCTCCAAATGTCTCTGGTTGAAGTAAACTATAAATTAGTGTTATAACATAGAGCACAATGTAAGTTTTAGACATGGTTTTTTTCTGCAGAATCTAAAGTTCTTTCTTCTAAGAGTCTAACATGAGACATCAATGACATCTGTGACAAGGAGGTGAGCCTGATCCCTATGTATTAAAGGGTTTGAGCTCTGCAAGACTCCAGCCTGTGGGAACTGAAGCACTGAGATGCTAATTAAAATGTGAGGTGAAGGGATGCTCCCCAAGACCTCTTACCGCTGTACACATTCCTTCACCACCTCATACTGGCCAATGGAGGCAGCTGTGTGAAGATCCAAAGGTACATCCAGCTCCTCTCGGCTGACCTGTGCACCAAGCCCATACCACATTGACAAGCTGCGGTTCAGGAGCTCCGGCTCGCTGGCTTCATCGCTGAGCTCAGACATGGCTGCAGAGGGAGGCCCAGGGGTTAGTTCTTCCTCCCTGGATGTTCCAAGGATGAAATACTCCTACTAACAGCAAGCTATCATCTCACTCCTAAGAAACTAAAGCCACTGAGGATGAGTTAACTTTCTTCAAACTTCACTTAACTTTCTTCAAACAGCAGTGCCATCACAGGGCCACTGGCAAGCTTGCCACCAAACAGAAGACAGGAGAATATGCTTCATACTACAGGTTCTACAATCACATTTTCCAGGAGCCTGAAAACCTCTCCTTTGCTAGTAAAACAGTACAAACTGAGTTATTTAGCACTATTTGCTGAATTCGGGCATGCAGCAAAATTTAGCTCTGTATCTAGCATCTCCAGCCCCTAGTTCAGCACTAATGGACATGGATGTCTAAAAGGGATACTGCTACAAATACATGGAAGCTGGGTGTGGTGACACACCCCTGTCATCTCAGCACTGAGAAGGTGAAACAGAGGCAGGAGGATCATGAATTTAAGGGCAGCCTGGAGTACATAAATTTATGGCCATGCAGCTACAACAGAGATCCTCTCTCAGTGAAACTAAGAGTAGGACCCAGAAAGATGGCTCCGGTGTTAAGAGCACAGAGGACCCAAGTTCAGCTCCCTGGACCTGTCCAGTGGCTTACAACCTCTGTAACTCCAGTGTCAGAGGATCCCACAGCCCCTTCTGGCTTCCTTGAGGATCTGCATTCATTGGTGTACACACCACCCCCCAGATACATGCATACATATAATTTTTAAGTCTTTTAAAACAAACCAGGGCTGGAGATGGCATAGCAGTTAAGAACACGTACCACTCTTACAGAGGGCCTGAGTTCAATTCCCAGCATCCATATGAGGCAGCTTACAACTGCCTGTAATTTTAGCTCCAGGGGATCTAACACTCATATGCACATGGTCATACAAACACACACACACACACACAATTTAAAACAAAAATATTTTTAAATTAAAACTTTGTAAGGACTAGACATGCAGTGGTTGAACACTGCATATCCACAAACAAGCCACATGGAAGGTTATACATGGAGATGCCATTAAGTATGGCACCCTGGAGGTGGAGACAGGAAAGAAAAAAGAGGAGGAAGAGGAAGGGGAGAGGAAGGAAAAGTAGGACAAGGAAGGGGAAGAGGAAAAAAGCCCCTACCACAGACTACAGAATGTGATCCCTGATGTTCAGCAAATGTTACCTGAGCAAGAATCTACCTATGCAACTCTTTTAAGCAGGAAAAACAGACCACCACAAGGATGGCAAGTGTGTGAGTCCTTTATTCTGGGGAATCCTACTCAATCCAAAGCCAAGTCGATTCCTAAGTACATTAAAAAAAAAAAAAAAAAAAGAGAGAGAGAGAGAGTTCAACCGGGTGGTGGTGGTGCATGCCTATAGTCCCAGCACTCTGGGAGGCAGAGGCAGGCGGATGATCTCTTGTGAGTTTGAGGCCAGCCTGGTCTACAGAGTGAGTTCCAGGACTGGCTCCAAAAAAATAAAAAGAAACCCTTTCTTGAAAAAACAAAAAAAAAAAAAAAAGCAAGAAAAAGAGAAAGAAAGAAAGAAAAAAAGAAAGAAAGAAAGAAAGAAAGAGAGTTCTGGATATAGCTCAGTTGCTAGAGCACTTGCCCCACTGCATAAGGCCTTTCATGCTGAATCTAATCCCCATCACAGAAACAAAGGGGGTGGGAGGTAATGAGAGCAGATATAATGGCAGTTTACAGTAAGGAGGGCCTCAGCTTAGTGTTCCATTCTCGCCTGTGTAAATGGCCACTGTTTTGTCTTGAGACAAGGTCTCACTGTGTAGCCCTTGCTGGCTTGGAACTCAATTTGTAAACCAGGCTCAACTTGATCTCACAAAGATACACCTATCTTGGCTGAGATTAAAAGCATGTGCCACCATATCCAGCTAAACAGCCACTGGTACTAAGGATCCTTGGGGGCCACATCAGTGACCCCAAACCATTTCAAGTGGCAGAATGCCTCCAGGACCATACCATGGTGCCCTGGCAAGGTTGTTACTCTCCGAGATTGGCACTGGTGGCGACCTGACCCAACAGAGTTGAGCGCAGCACAAGTTGGAAAGATCTGGGCTTTGGCATTGAGCCCACCTGGGTCCCAGCTGGAGGTCAGGACCACTGCAGGAGCGACCTAGGGGATACAGAACACCAATACCCACACCCAAGATTTCTGGCAAACCCAGAAAAAAGCCTGAAGGAAGTGTGCACCCAGAAAGCATTAGTTCCCTGCTCCTAAACACCCTAGCATTCTTAAGTGTTAGTGAGTGCCAAAACAGACAAAGTTGGGCCTAGCAGCACACTTCCAGATGGAGGCAGAAGGATCAAAAATCACAAACTGGCCTGGGCAACTTAGTGAGATTAAAATATTTAAAACGTAGAAAGATGGTTGAGAATGTATCTCAGTGATAAGTATCACATATAAATAGCTTGGAAGACCTTAAGTTTAAAAAAATAATAATAAAAGACAAACTACCAATCTGGGAGACAGTTTGCAAGCCTATGCTGGTGAGATGAACAGGCCTGCTTTCTGGAACCACTGGCCTCTTATGCTGCAGAGCCTAAGCTAAGGAGTGAGACTCCTGAGCCTGAACCAATAGAGGAGACACATGCTCCCATAATGGGGAAACAGCAGAATCCTGGAAGGGCTCACACCTGTAATTTCCAGTTCTTGGGAGACAGATGTCTGTGAGTTCCGGAACAGCCTGGTCTACACAGAACCCCACCCACCCAAACTCAAAAAACCAACTCCCCAAAAGTCGACTCGAGTAAAACAAATGCTTCTATGTCCTCTGCACCTTAGTACCAGAACTTCAGTAGCAGCAATGATGCTTGTTACTCTTTTTTAAAGTTATCCTCTTTTTTTTTTTTAATCCCATTCTGGTGGCAACTGTCACTCCACTCCTTCAAGAGATCCGTCAAGGTCTCGAGGGAGCCCTTGCAGCCCAGAAGCGCGGCGCGGTTCCGGCCCCGTCGGGTCCCGGTGACCGTGCGCGACCACAGGCTCCCGCGTGGCTGAGCGCTCTGGCAGGCACCTCGCGTGACCCAAGGAGCCGGGCCCACGTCCCCAAGCCCTGCTAGCGCCACGGCTGGCCGCTGGAGCGGCCTCAGGGCGCCTCAGGCACCGCCGGGCCCGGCCTACCTGCAAGGACTCAGGTTCTCGTGCCACCCTCCAGAAGCAGCTGCACGTTCCCTCACCGGGAAGCAGCCCTGCGCCCGGCCCACCCCGGAAGTGACTGTAGGAGCGCGCGGAGCACTCCGGGAAGATGGCGGACGTCCTGTTATTGGCCCTCCACAGCAGCCAATGAGATGGCAGCGCTACTCAGAGACGAAGAGGGGCTGGTTCTGTCAGGGGCGGGGCGCCCTGGGCCAGCCCGGGGACAGAGCAAGTGGACGAGCCCAGCGGCCGGAGGCGCGTGTGAAACCGAGGAAACCCACGAGACGAGGGGTTGGTCCCGGCTGCGGGTGACAGAGAGTGCGATCCTCCCCTCTTTTAGCGCCGGCAGGATTGTCTCTCTGCCTTCCAGTCCCCTTGACAACGACGCCTGGCGCGAGGCGGAGCGAGGCGGGGCCAACCGGCTTCGAGAAGAAACCGTGAGCCAGCCCATGCTCTTCCCTCTGTGGTCAAGCCTTCCTTCAATCCCACCGCTTTGTGCACCTAAAGGACGACCGGTCTTGGGTGGCACTGTTCACCCCCGTGACTCTGTACCCCTCTGCCAGAGCCCCTGCTCTGAAACATTGCTGGTGCGTATACCAAAAGCGTCCCCACCGGCGGCTCGCAATTCAGGACCGCCAAGCACCTGCCCTTGCTTACAAAATTCAGAGGCTTCAATCCCCTGCTCACCTCCCTGCCCTGGTTCAGCACCCCTGGCTTATCTGACTGGTCCCCTAGGCCTTCACCCCACACTCCTAAAGTCCCTTTGTCCACTGAGGGTCGAGCAAATTTTTTAGGGTGAAATACAAAGGGTTAGGTTGAGCCGGCGACTCATTTGAGTGATGATAACTAACAAAAATCTCCTGGATAATGGATCTTAAAGATCCTAACTTTCAAAGATTTATTTTATTTTTAATTATATGTAACTGTGTGAAGGTGGGTATGTGTACTCTAGTGCAGGTACCAGAGGACACCAGAGACATAGGATCTCCCCGAGGTTGAAGTTACAAGTAGTAGTAGTGCTTTTGGGAACCGGATTCTGGTCCTCTACAAGAGCAGTAGAGGACACTCTTAATTGCTGGGCCCTCTCTTCAGCCCCTAAATCCCTTTTCTCAGTGCTGGGGGTTGGATTCATGTCCTGTCCTATATATATATGCGCCAGGCAAATGCTCTACCAAAGAGGTTCATCCCTAGAACTTAACATTGATTCAACCTCTTTTTGCTATGTATCAACCTCTTGAAGCCTATAAAATGGAGATAATAATGTTTGTTATATAGGAGATGTGTGTGTGTGTGTGTGTGTGTGTATCTTAGGGTTTCCATTTATGTGAAGAGATACCATGACCACAGCAACTCTTATAAAGGAAAACATTTAATTGAGGTGGCTTACAGTGCTAGAGAAGGAGCTGAGAGTTCTACATCTGAGAGATCCATGGGCAAAAGGAAGTGAACTGTGTCACTGGGCATAGCTTGAGCATAGGAGACCTCAAAGCCCCACCACCACCAAGTGACACACTTTCTCCAACAAGGCCACACCTCCTAATAGTGCCACTCAAATATACTTATTTTTATATATGTATTATATATATATATGTATATATATATATATCCATATCATATATTTGTATGTATACATATATCTTTTTATCAGTATATGCAACTCTGTTTTCATATGCACACATCATTAAGCACATCACATACATATATATACAGATACCATGCTCTTGTATACTCCTCACTGTACACATCCACACATACAGTCCTGTGACCCAGTAACACAAACTTGCAGAACCAGAAGGAAATTGGTGGAAAATGGAAATCTGCAGATGTGTTTTCATCTTTAAATGATCAAGGCTTTGGAAAGGCTACCCATGCTTGTTTGTCCTTGGACAGCTAGACATTACCAACTCACCCTGTGTACTCCACAGTGCTCGTCTGATGATGATATTTAAAGGGAGGATCCTTTGAGCCTGGGCCCCTATGACATCCAAAGACAAAGATGTGGTGTCCTTGCCACTTTCTCCCTGGGATGCCATCCTTAAGGCTGCCAAAGACCAGCTGCCATCTGTGGATTCAGACTCCTCCCTGGTGAGCAAGAGCTTCTTCCTGAATGTCAACTGTCCAGCTTGGACAAGGACAACTTTGGGCATTCCTTTCTAGAGACCCCACTCTGATCTATAGGGTTTGTTGTTACTCATCAGTCCCTGGGATTATTTCTGGGTATCGACTTCCTTTAGGATTCTTCCTGGGTTTACCAGAAATCTTGAGTATGAGTATTAGTGTCCTGTATCCTCTCCTGTAGTGGTCCTGACTCCCAGATGGGACCCAAATGGGCTCAATGCCAAAGCCCAGATCTTTCCAACTTGCTGTTGTGCTGCGCTCAACCCTGTTGGGTCAGGTCGGGGCCGGTGCCAACCTCTGGGAGTCATGACCATGCCAGGGCACCATGATATGGACCTGAAGGGATTCTGCCCCTTGAGGTGGGTTGGGGTCACTGACAATACCAGTGGCCATTTAAACAGGTAAAAGGGACACCTAGTGATCCACTGGTCAGAGACTCAGCACACAGATTAGCATAGGACATTTAGAGTGAAGAGCAAAGATTTTAGAAACAAGACAGCTGATTGTGCCCTACCTGGGCGTTTGCAACGATGAACATAACAGAGCTGAAACTCAGGCATTATCCAGTGTATAGTGCATCAAAAGAAGTAGATGATAACAGTACCTCGGTGCCCTTGTGCTGTCATTGCTTTGTGAAGAAGTCCCTGTAAGGTGGCAGGCCACTGTCAGCCTCTCTCCATTAGAGACAGCTAAGTGATAAGTCAGTATGCAAGTGAGCTGGCCTTCACTTTTAACTACCCCTTCACTACCATTATTCAGTACCGGCATTGATGTGGCACCTACTGTGTGCAGGATCTTGAGCATAGCCTGTGGAAACAGAAACTCACATCTCATCAGTATGAGGTGGTGCTGCTGAGCCTGTTTTTGAGTTAGCCCTTTATAGAGAACTGATCTTCCCAGATGCTCCTGGGGAGGTGGGGCAAAGCATGGCTGCCTTTTTCTGAACCCCCTGGTTTGTCTGCAGTCTGACTGTGAGGAAGAAGAACCCTTCATCTTTCAGCGAAACCAGCCCATCCTGATTCCAGACTTGGCTGAGGAGCTGGCTGAAGACCCTGTTGGTGTTGAATCTGGGGCCTGGATTACTATAGGGAGGAGTTCTTCACCTGAGGTCTGTGGGACACAGGCTTTGGAGACCTACTAAGCCAAGTACCCGGGAGGGATGGTGGTAGTGGTGGTGGTTGCAAGTCTCACAAGGATTTCATGAACAGCATAGATCTAAAGTGCTTAAAACCACTGGTTTTGCCTCTTCCTACCCCAAGGACAGCCTAGCATTCAAGTATTCAGCACATAAGCATGGCACCTCCCAACACTGTAAGCACATTTGATTGTCTATCTGATTTTGCCTGCTGTCTTTCTTATTTTCTTCCAAGACACTCTGTACTGTCTGGCCATTGTCACAGCTGCCTGTCTCAAATGTCTCTCCATAATTCATGGCCACTTAAGCTTGCTGAATGTTCATTGACTAAGTGTTCCAGCAGGAAGCAGAAGGGAGGTGTTCCATAAAGGCCATCACAGTGGTACCCTATGCTGGCTACCCTAGTAGGAAGTCAGGGGAGAAGGGGGGAACACAGCACATGTTTGGCCTTCCCAATCGTAGGAAGTGCCCATCCCCATCTTTCTCTCTCAGGTCCCTGGGGGACACCAAGAACTCTGTCTAAACCCAATGATTCCTCCAAACCTGATGGCATAAGCGTGTAATCTGAGCTACCTGGAAGCTGAAGCAGAGGCATCAAAAGTGTGAGGCAGGGGCTGGAGAGGATGGCTCAGTAATTAAGAGAGCTTGTTGCTTTTGCAGAAGACCCAGGTTTGGTTTCCAGCACCTGCATGGTAACCCACAATCACCTGTAACTCCTGGTTCCAGTCCCACTTTTGGCCTCTGTTGACTCCTGCACATAGACGGTACACATAAACATGCATATATACATCTAAAATTATAAATAAACCAAAACTCCAAAACGTGAGTGTCTTGATGATGAGAATGAATTGCTATCCTAATAGATCCCATCTGCAGCTTTTATCCTTGGCTACCCCAACCTGTCAGACTTGTTAATTCTTCTTTATGTGGCTGTGACTAACATACTTTCTGATGAAAACACTGTATAGGCCAAAACACATCTCTAAAGGCCAGTGTGGATTCCAAGAGCCACTCAACTCTGAGTCACCTCCCTCTGCTCAGTTCTTCGTAAAATCATTGAGACAACAAACTGGGTGTGGAAAGGCTGAAGAATACCATCTGACCCATATCCACCACAGCATTGTGTGAAGCCCAGCCCTCATAGAAGCAAGTGTAAAATAACACCCCTTGTTCTCCCCAGGAAGATCTGAAAGGCAACTAGGGCTTTGTCAGTTTAGGTGACATGATTTTCATGAAATGTTTTCTTTCCCATAAGGACTACCAACTCCTCTGAGAGAGGGGCAATAGGGAATAGAATTGTTTTGGAAATAGTGGCAATGTCTATATGTGACAAGTTGTTAAATGAAAAAGGATCAAAATGGGACCCATGAGATGCCTTGATGTGAAAAGGCACTTGCTGCTCGGCCTGATACCCTTCCTGCATTCCATACTTGGGACCCACATAGTAGACAGAAAGGACTGACTCTCAGCTACCCTCTGACCTCTTCTTTTTGGTTTTTTGAGACAGTGTTTCTCTGTGGGTTTGGAGGCTGTCCTGGAACTAGCTCTTGTAGACGAGGCTGGTCTTGAACTCAGAGATCTGCCTGCCTCTGCCTCCCAAGTGTTGGGCGTGCACCACCAACGCCCGGCCTCTGACCTCTTCTTAATCATGCATATTCATTCTCTCTCTCTCTCTCCTCTCTCTCTCTCTCTCTGTCTCTCTCTGTGTGTGTGTGTGTGTGCGTGTGTGTGTGTCTGTCTGTCTGTCTGTCTGTCTGTCTGTCTGCCTCTAAAATGTGTCCTTTCCGGTGCCCACAGAGGATGCCTTTTTTTTTCTCTAGCCATTTCTGGTTCCTGGGAGACTAGCCATAGAACCCAGAAGTGGACAGACGGTAAAACAGAAGGACTTGGCACTTCAGGAAAGAAGAGGCCCTGGCTGGGCTTGCCAGAGCTGTGTCAAGATCAGTCCTATCCTTGTGGAGGCTGAGGAGGGCCCACCCTGGCTGGAAGGCAACCTTAGAAGCCTGTGTAACCCCAAAGGATCCCAGAGTCCCCCCTGGACTTCCCAGGGAGAAGATGCCACCTTTCCTTTGGAAGGGCAGCTGAAGACAGAGCCCTCAGACATTGACAAGCGCAGAGCCCTCCGCAGGGAAAGGAGGAAGATGATAGAGAAGGATATCCTTCAGAAAGTGACCCAGGCTGCCCAGAACTCAGCCTGTGGTGGCCAAGGCCAGGCTCCAGAGTCGGGACCCCAGCCAGAAGCTGGGGAAGGATGTCCAGTGCTCTCACTCCAGGTAGGTGTCTCCATTGCTAAGCCTGCCCTCAGACCAGTCCCCTGCAGAATGGCCACACTGTCGAGGCTAGAGCCAGCTTCTCTTTAGGACCTTAGGCCCAAATCCCAGGTTCACTGGCCAGCAAGGAGCTGTTGCTGTTACAGTATGTGGGGCGGCTGGCATGGAGCTCACCCTCAGCAAGAATTGGCGGTAATAGGAAGAGAGGCCAACTCTAACCTTCTTTAAAGGGTACACAGAGATGACCCCAAGTATGAGTGCTGAATTCATGCAGTCATGCATAATACAGAGGCAGGTGCTGCTAAAGTAACATCCTCCCAGTGGGAAGACCCCACACACTAGGAACAGCTGTCCAAGTCAGGCTAAGGACATTAGTGAGAACTGGCAGGGACACAGACAGACTGGGATTGGGAGAGTCGACTCTATGAGATACTGCAGAAGAGAAAGGAGTGTGAAGACTACTGTGAAAGTGGATCTATAAACCACAGCAGTGACTCCTTGTCCCTCAAGGGTGAGTCTGTTTCCCATCATGGTGGGTGGGCAGCCCTACAGCTGTGATTTGTAAGGTTACCTTGCCCACTAGACCGGAAGGCTATAAAGAATACCCTGGTTAGCTGTGCAAACTCAGTTCCTTCCAGGTGGAGGTGGACATATTGGAAGATGCTCCAGCCTAGCATGGGAAGGCCATACACCCCTGCATCATGTGTTTTAATAACTTAAAGAATTCAAGCACACAGACGTGCACAGAATTCTTCATTGCTGTCTCCATAAGCCAGCAGTTTCATTCTGACCACCCTCACAGCTTTAATTCTTCCTCATCTATATGGCTGCAGAAATTGGAAAGGTTTTACTTAAGCATTCATTGTAGGTTCCTTTCTTCCTCTCCATCTATGCCTGCAGAGCCATCTGGGCCAAGCTCTCCGGTTTGAACACCTTCTAGAACCACCAGGTTCTTAAAGTTGCAAAACTTTGTTGTTGTTGTTTTTCAAGATAGGGTTTCTCTGTGGCTTTGAAGGCTGTCCTAGAACTAGCTCTTGTAGACCAGGCTGGTCTTGAACTCACAAAGATCTGCCTGCCTCTGCCTCCAGATTGCTTGGATTAAAGGTGCGTACCACTACCAGCACCCTGCTTTTTTTTTTTTTTTTTGAAAGTTGCAAAACTTTGTAAACATCTTAGATTGGTATGAACCTAGACAGTTCAGACAGAGGAGAAGGGCAGGATGTGCATTGTTTGGTAGAGTGTTTGCCTTGCATGCATAAAATGCATGTGATGATATAGACCTGCAATCCCAGAACTTGGGAGGTGAAGGTAGGAGGATCAGACATTCAAGGTCATCTTTGGCTAAATAGAGAGTTAAAGGCTGGCCATAATGAGATCCTGGTTGAAAAAAAAGGGGGGGGGGGAGTTTCCTCCAGGTTAGTCACCTTCGTACCCAAAAGTATCAACCCTAAAAAATTTAAGAAAAGTGTCAAGAAATGCAGGTCTAGCTGGGCAGTAGTAGTGCATGCCTTTAATTCCAGCAGTCAGGAGGCAAAGGCAGCCTGGTCTACAGAGTGAGTTCCAGAACAGCCAAGGCTACACAAGGAAAAGAGGTGTGGTGGTATGGTGTGGGTGTGGGGGAGAATGCAGGTCTCACCTTAAAGGAAGGGCTTAGTGTATAATCATTTACAACAGACAATGCATTCATACACTAGATGCACCCAGACTTCAGCACCACTCTATTGTGGTGTTTGGAGTCAGGGCTGAGTACTTCCATGTTCTTGGCTGCTTATCCAAAGAATTGAGAACAAGGCTCACACAGATGTGAAAAAGAAGTAAGATAGCTTTATTGAAGCTAGGTGACAATACATTAAAGAGCTATATACTGTCAAGATTATATTATGGGGTCTAAAGGAAGAAGGGGCTGGCTACTAAGGGGGCATAATTTTTTATTGAGGCAGGGTTTCTCTGTAGCTTTGGAGCCTGTGCTAGGATCCACTCTGTAGACCAGGCTGGCCTTGAACTCACAGAGATCCACCTGCCTCTCCTTCCCAAGTGCTGGAATCAAAAGCATGGGCCACCAGCACCCAGCTAAGGGAGCATAATTTGGATGGTTCTCTGTTTTGATTGATGAGATTGTATATTCGTTTTATCCTACTGTCCATGTTCTTTTCCCATAATGCATCAATTTTAATCATTGGAATGCCTAGTTATGCACAGGTACAAGATTGCAGTAAATAGGGGGTTTTCCCTAAAAGATTAGTAGAGACAGTTTTTCCTTACTGCCTAAACATCCAAAACCAGTTCAGGCAAGATAACCCCTTCTTCATACCTAGATACACTGGGAATACACTTTAATAGAAACTGTCTAAATTTGATTGTTACGGAGTTGGGGGCGGGGAAGATTTATACCATAGTCCAGAGAGATGGGAATACATGTAGCTTGATGCAGGTGGGAGGTTTCAGGGGTGTTCTGAGGTTGCTAGGTGCAGTGTTTGAAGAGGTGTGCATCTGTTTAGTACATGCAGGTGAAGGAACTACACTGCCATTACAATGGGGGTGTGGACAACCTGAAACCAAAGGGCGGGGAAGCGTCCCAAGCTAAACTGTTTTCTATATTTGCCTGCCTCACTACAATGAATAACTCATATTACCCTCTCCTGACTGAAGCTGCTGTGAAAGTCGGGGATCCTACTGTGTCTGGGCCAGCTGACTTATCTGGTCCATACTTGAAAGGAGGAATGTAGATTGAGGAAAGAAATAGGCAAGAAACAGAAGATAGAGTCAGGAGGGCATCAACAAGTAAATACTGTGATCAGCCCCAAGTTTATTACTCAAAGCTCTTATGTACCCCCAATCAAAAGGGGGAAAGGCAAAATACTTCCTTACCCTGATACAAGGAACAGACAAATGTAATTACCTCCTTAATACCCAAAACATCAAGTAACCACACCCTAAAACAAATATCCTGTTGTCAAGGTAGGACATCCATTGGATGGTACACCTTAGGCCAAATATTCTGTTGTCTAGGGAAGACATACAATAGCCACACCGTATGTGTTTTATCCTTGAAGGAGCAATAATAGGCTTGAACTCTCAGACCTTAAGTCAAAATGGAATGGAGCCAGTCTATGGGCCTCCACACCACTGCAGACCTTCCTGCAGCCTTGTAATCACCAGTTTTATCATTTCAGCAACTTGAAGACTGGGATTTGGATTACATCCTTCAGAGTCTGCCAGGGCGACAGGACTGCCAGGGTGACAGTGCTCCCAGAACTGCCTGGTGGTTAGCTGACCGATGCCAAAACCAAGGTCTGACCTTCAACACTGAAGTGAGAGTGAATCCCCCTAAGTACCTTTTTCCAAGGCTCTCAGTGCCAGGGGCTATGGGATGGCCACGGCTCTCACTCCTTACTCTCCTCAGCACATTCATTGCCCAGTCTTACAAAATACTTCATTCGCCAGGCATTGGTGGTACACGCCTTTAATCCCAGACAGGATTTCTCTGTGGCTTTGGACACAGTCTCTTGTAGACCAGACTGGTCTCGAATTCACAGAGATCCGCCTGCCTCTGCCTCCTGAGTGCTGGGGTTAAAGGCAGGTGCCACCATCGCCCGGCTTATTTGGATTTTTCAAGACAGGGTTTCTCTATATAGCCCTGGCTGTTCTGGAACTCTGTAAATTGGGCTGGCCTCAAACTCAAGAGATTCACCTTCTTCTGCCTCCTGAATGCTGGGATTAAAGGCATGTGCCACTACTGCCTGGCTTTTGAGCAGCTCTGTAAAAGGCAAACACTCCCCATGTCTTCCCGACCCATGCAGACCCTAACAGAGATGGTCACACATCTGAGCTGAGGAACGAGGACAGGCTAGGTATCCACATCCAATTCCAGACCAGACTTCACTGGACTGACAGCCACTGGGATGTTTGAAGCAAGGAGTTTTTTAAAGTTTATTTTGATTTTTCTTTTCTTTTCTTTTTTTTTTTTTTTTTTTTTTTTTTTTTTTTTTTTTTTTTTG